TCAGCCTCCCAAGTAGCTGGGACTACAGGCATGCGCCACCATACCCGGCTAATTTTTTCTATATATTTTTAATTGTCCGATTAATTTCTTTCTAATTTTTAGTAGAGACGGGGTCTCGCTCTTGCTCAGGCTGGTCTCGAACTCCTGAGCTCAAAAAATCCGCCCGCCTCGGCCTCCCAGAGTGCTAGGATTACAGGCGTGAGCCACTGCGCCCGGCTGCAAACCCATATATTTTTCACTTTTTTTCTAAAATTGATTTGGATTGTGGGTAGGAAGGAGAAGAAACTTTCTTATACCCGAATTCAGTCTACTAATCTTAGATTTATAAACCCAAAGACTATGCTGTCAGATACATAGTGGTTAAATAGATAAACTTTCCACAGTTACCCTCTAATTTGCCATTTTGATAAAGCAGAGTTTATCAATACTTTCTAATATGTTGGTCCACCCCAAATTCTTTAAGTTGTTTCAAAATTGGTACTAATTTATCAGTATAGAAAAGACAACACCAAAATACTAAAAATGTTCATTAAAATTTTAATACCTTTCAAAAGGTTTACAAAAGCAGGCCAAAAATTGCTTATACTGTCTTAAGTACCCTGGCTGATTGACTAGGAATATTAGAAGTCATTGAGATCAGTGGTTCTCAAGTTTGAGTATGTTATTAGAATCACTTGGAAGCCTTGTTAAAACATTGCCAGACCCTACTCTAGTGGTTTTGATTCTGTAGGTGTCAGGTGGACCTAATAATTAACGTTTCTAACAAGTCCCCTTGTTGTTCGGGGGACTACACTTTAAGAACCACTGGATCTTTGCTACTCCAAGTCTGGTCCCCAAAGCAGTAGCATCAGCATCATCCAGGAGCTTGTTAGAAATGAAGACTTTCAGATCCAGACATAATCAGAATCTGTATTTTAACAAGATCCCCAAATGATCAATATGCATATGAAAGCTGGAGAAATGCTCTTGCTCTTTTAACAAGCTCCAGGTGATGCTGATGCTGCTAGACCAGGCCACTTTTGAGTAGCAAAGATCCAGAACAGTAATCATATTGCTGTAATCAGGATCACCTGGAAAGTTTAAAAAATTCTGATGTCCATACTGCACCCGTAATAGGTAAATCAAAATCTTTGAGGATGAGACCCAGACTTTTTCAAAAACTCTCCCAGTGATTCCATTGTGCCCTCAAGTTTGTAAACTAAGAATCTATACAGGTAAGTTTCAGGAAATCTTTCTTCAGTTTGTAAAACAAACAAGAAGCTAATTCATGGAATTAGGGAAGTAGAGGATGGGAAGCTCAGAGCCCATTTCTTATCCCCCCCAAGTATGTGGAATCCCTGAAAGTATCTGAGATGCCCCATATCACCAGATCTAGATCTGTTTTATTTTACAAATGAGGATACAGGCCTAAAAAGTGAAAGTGATTTTACCCTTTATCAGAGCTAATTAGTGTCAGTTACAACTTTCACCTCTTCTTCCCAAGTTTAGTGTTTCTTGCCTTAGTCGTAAACAAGCTAGGAGGCAGAAACTCAAATTTAACACTTGGCCTGACCTAATAAATATTTATTGATTGAGCTTAAATAAACCGTGTTTTGGAGACACTCTAAGTAGCCATTAGAAAATTACCATGGAGAATATAATTGAGATCTTTTCTAGCAAGATGTTAAGGATTATCTGGAAGGTGTTATTGCGGG